AGAGGAATTGAACGAGTCATCGTTTCATAATTTCTTAGATTTTCCGTTAATACTTTACATACTCGTTAGTTATTGTCAGATTTTCTATGAAATAAATGAATTTTATATAAGAAATAAAATTAAGCTACGTCTTTTCAGAATAGTGACAAGAGAAAGTTTTTTAAGTATCACAATTCTACTTTCTACTTCTTCTACACCTACACGGTGTTTCATAAAATTACATGCAAGGTAGGTCGAGCAACGATAAACATAAAACATTCAGATACGACTTAAAGTTCATTTAATGAAGGAACTATTGCACAGCATGGTATGACGTGTTCTATAAGCGTCTTGTTTACGGAATCTCCTCATCCTTTTAGATGTTAGGACATCTAACTTTCTCTGTGACGATGTCCAAATTTCCAACATATTTACATTTATTAAAAGTTCAAACTCATTGACTATTCACATGATAATTAAATGTTTCTATGAATCCTCGATCGCTTCGTAATCTTCCTACTAAGTTTGCAACTAATACATTTTTTTTCAATCGACATCAGGCCAATCGTAAAGAAATTGATCTCTCATACTTTGCACTTTGAAAACGCAAAACCTGACGAAATTCGAGATTGATAAGGCTACCCCTTGCGAAACACGTTTTGCGAAAAGACTCGTCAGATTCTGACAATCGACCGGCGGTACCAGTCACGGTCTCTCTATAAATCAGGCGAAACGCAGACTTGTTTATCGTCCCGAGTTTTTACTCGGTCTTTCGCCTACATTTGTTGAAATATTTGCAAACGGTCCGTTATCGCTTGCACTGTAAACGTTCGGATAAAAGACGGCTACTAGACTGCGGATTTTATGCATTTACAAGGAGATGAAGTGTACAAAAAATATCGAAAATAAAGTGCAATGTTTAAATGATGAAAGAAACTGTTATTTTCCCTAAAAATCCCCGAAGTCTACTTGTTCGCGGCACGCAGAGAGAGATTACATTTTTATTTCACGAGAATTCTATTTAGATGTTCTCTTAGCGACGTGTTAAACGTTTATCTTGATAATTCACTCGTTCGTTAAAAGATTAATAAAAAATTCGACAGTGTTTACTGGTTGCAGTTAACACTTCTACGTTTGAAACAATTACGTTCATTACGTTTCCAGTGACTACCTCCCCATCAACCTTGTTTATGTGAGAACCTAACGTAATCGATAATTACTACTTTTTTCGAGCTTTCGACCCAGAAAGACGACCCAATTTTTACACAGTTCCATCATGAGTGCAATTACAATTTTAAAGCACGACGATTTACGTCACAGGAAATATATATAATTTACATGTGCGTAGGCGGCATCCGTTTCGGTGTCAAAATTTGATACGATCGACGATCAAGATAAGAATTCACGCGATCCTAGTCGACAACGTCATCTCGTCGCGCGTACGATGCTTGCGCAAGAATTTTGCAACGTACAGCATGCCTACGCGTTTTCTCCGGATGCCAAATGATCTCTCCATTCAATCCTTGTAAGAAACGAGAATTTAAACAACGTTCAATGAAAAAGATAATCGTACATTAGTCAATTTGAACAATTTCGCTCGAGTAACTCGACCGCCGACCATTGTTCCTATTGTTCTCTTTTTTTATGATAAATCGGTTTTCAGAAATTTTGAAACTACCATTGTTAATGGCACGAGTTGAACGAACAGGACGTAGTCGGTTGACTGGAAACGTTTTGAAACACGCGTCACGCTGTTTTTCCCGTTACGGACATGAAACACTATCGACCGAATTCTTTCGTGATGATTGGCGCGGAACAATTAAACGGCGGTCTCGTTTCGGTGCAGAAAGTCGCGACGCATCGTCGAATCGAAACGTTAAGCTCGTTTAGGATGCGAGAATTATCTAACGCGCACCAGCTTTGCTTATGACATAATTACCAACGATGGACTTATAAATATAATTATGTATAAGTAATTAGTAGTAATTTATTCCTGGCCCCGAAGCGATTATCTATCCTTTTATCGCACACATTAACGACACGGTTATGAAATTACGATAAGACCGCGATTAACCTCTCTAAAAATAACGATATCGTCGCAGAAATAACCAGAGTGTTGCCGAAGAATTATCGCCGAAGCGGGTAAAGGTGTACTTGAGCGGGGATGTCAGTTTTCCTGGAGTTCGCTGATGCAGCTAATATCAATGATTCACCTGAAAAATTCACTAGCACCGAAGGTCTATTCTCGGACTCGCGCGTAATCGTCCGCTTAGCCATCGTTCCGTGTCGTGTAACCTCGTAAGAACGGAAAAAAAAAAAAAGAGAAAAGAAAACTTCTGTGCACGTGTAAGCCGCCATATCGGCGACGGAGTGAAGAAGCGCGAAAGAGAACGATAGGATAATATTTCTTTATTCGCGTGAAAAGTGCGTAACCCGTTCGAGAAAACGACGCAATATACCTCCTGGCTGTTGACAAAGTGAGTACGTTCCTAAACTTAACATATGGAAATACAGGAATCAAAAAGGGGACACCTAAACAGGTATTGTCATTGAAAACGCGGGAATCTCTTCGAGGTCGAACTCCCGAAGGGTAAACGCGATAACGCGAATCTATTCCTGATAGTCTTTGTTCGCAGCAACCTTCCTCAGTCGTAAAAAGTAGGTCTAATTGTTCACGATAATAGATCCTCAATACCTAAAAATAGGATTTACGCGTTCTGAAAGTGTGACATAACCTACATATAATATCGCGATTATATAATTAACGGAGATAAATTCGCGGCGAGGAAATTGCCAAAGGAATCGTTTCCTAGAAGCTCGGAAATTGATCGCGATAAATTGCACGATGGTTACCGATGGAAACAATAGTGAGCTATTAGTTACGATTGTCCTGGCGTGATGAAAGTGAAATTGAAAACGGGAATCGAGAATGGAACGAAGTAACTCAGCGTGTAATTATGTGCAAGGACGATCAGTCTTCAATAGGGGAAAGGAATTATTTTGCAAACGGGAATAAGAACGAGGTAGGATTCTCATGCTGTCGTAGCTTCTTTGAACAAGGCGAAATTCAACAAGTGGTCACGGTCCAAGGTATGTATAATAGTACAGCTATATGTATAGAACGATACACCTTCCGATACAAAGAGATTGAACCGGTGACTAAAGTGTCACACTTAGGAATTTCAATTAACTACACTCGCGATTATTTACATAATCGATGACTAACGTCGCGGCTGCAACGTTATTTCCGTGATCGCGATTCCAATCGAGGAACGCTCTTCTCAAGCGATACCGTATCTCCTTTTAGTCGACGTTACTATACTCGAGTCCGTTGGCCTATCGCTCGACACGGAATATACTTATACGCGCGGACACGGACAGGGACGAAGGAAATGCTTGGACTGAATCGAGTCGGACAAAGAAGAAACGGTAGGAACGTTTCGCTGATTGAAACGCGGCTATCCTTTCGGTCGCGTTCGTACGCCAATCCATTATCCTCGATGTAGCTCGCCGCAGCGAGCACTTAAATTATTATCCAACTAATTTACGGTCGCAAAGTGCATACACAAAACGTTCGAGCCATGCAACTATCCCGTGTGCATGCATACAGGGTAGATCGATTCGTTCGGAGGCTTTTGGAAAGCGAGTAGAAAGAAAGAAATGAAATTCTCGAGCGTTAGAAATACTGAGCACGATAATCGCTCCCGGTTCAGTATCGTCAATATTGTGTTCGACGACAGAAGTTCGTTGCACAAGCGTCAATGTGCTTTATCAATATTGGCTACAGAACTGGTATAGCATGAACCAGCGTAAAGGGTTTGACGTCGATATACACGGGGAAAGTGATTGACAAAACATTAATAATAATCGATTCAGAGAGTCGATAAGGAAAGGTCTTAGTATCCATTTACTGTCAAGCATATTCGTCTTTGTCGACTTTCACTTGCAATCAATTAAACAGATAGGCGAAATATATCACGCTCGATATCATGTTTTGACCCACGTAATTACATCACGTGTACGAATGCGTGAAAAATATAAAGCAGGAATGGCATTCGCAGTGTTCGCTCTTAAATAAACTTAGATACTGAATTACGAGACATCCTGTATGAATCGTGGAGGGCGCCAAGGGAGGGGCCCTTCTTTGTGAGACGGGCTCTGACCTCAACGGATCGTCGGACCCGAGGTAGGCGCCTTCGGCTGTTCACGACGAAGCTGTTGCTGGTTCGCTTGTCTGTCTGGCCACTTGGCTGGCCTCGTTGCCAAGCAACCGTAAAAGCGTCACCCTCTGTATATCGAAAATTCTTCCGTACAGCTTGTTCAGTCGCAGGTTTCCCACGTGTAAATACGAGACATCACGTTTTCCACGTGAGAAAACGACTGTTTTAAAAATACGCACAAACGAAAGGGTAACGATTTTGGATCCGGCCGACGTATATTTAGATACTCGCATTTATATATAGGATATGGTTCGGTAACGTAGACTCGAGATCAACCGTTACAACGATTTATATACTCTTCATTCTTCTTTCTCCTGGCATTTAACGCAGCAAAAAACCTGTTTTCCGAGCTCAAAAAAGAATATGAACGAGTCTACTTCTAGCATTACTTATTCTATCTAGTTGCAGAGTCGATTTTTTTATGGTAGCGCGTATACGGTCGATTGAACGACGACCGTTGTAACCATGAACTTTTCCACGAAGCATCGAGCGAAACGGTTAGTCATTTAAAATTGTATCTAGGCAAAAGTACATATGTATCGCTCAGAGATTTATGTATATCGCGTTCTCCGACCAGCGTGGCCACGTGTCTTGGGTTAATTTCGAACTACATACGTCAATTTTGCATTACGGTTAATTTCTTTCGGTTGTCCTATGACCCGAGTTGCGACATTCAGCGAGTCGTGACATCTTAGTTTTTTTTCGGTTGCACGCAGTCCGCATGAAACCCGAGACGAGGCAGTCGCGCTCGACGGTGGGTCACGTTTTAGTTTCGTGAACAATAAGGAAAGGATAACTCACCCATGTGAGCGAGGTCGATGATCGGCACCTCGCACTTGCTCAACAAAGTCTCGCAGGTCTGGGTTACAATCGGGGCGCTCGTGCAACAGCTCATCTTGCTCGCTGCTGGTTACTCGTCGAAATGGGATTTCTATCGCTGTCCTTCTTCGTCCCTCGATCTCTTGCACGCTCCTCGGCCGCTCTCGCAATTTCGTATCTCGTCCCCGATCTCTCTGTCCCGTTCACTCGATCGCTTCTTTTTCACGCGTGCCTCTTTCTTCTCCTGCTACCTTTTTTTCTCTTCTCCCTCGATCTTTGTGTCGCTCACGTTCCGATCAAATAGCACGGCCGTATGACGGGACGAGACGGGGAAAATATACGTGGCCCGTTGCGACGCGCGTGCACAATTATTCAACTCACCACGTGCAGGAACTCGGCCACCCGATACAGACGCGATCCCGAACAAACTTTTCACTAGAATATCCAAAAAAAAATCATGCTACCACTGCACACGAATGTAGACCGGTCGTTAAGCTGAAATCTCGGGGTGGAATGCTGTTAAACTTGCGACGGTTAATGCCGGTTTTTCTCGAAGGAAACGATGCACCGCGGTGTGGCCCTAACGGTAGCCGTAAGAGACGAGTTTATTGTGCGGCTGGTGGTGCGGCAGATAAACGTGCACTTTGCTGTGAACTGGTGGGCACATGCTATGGTATCAACTAAGTGGACGACGGGTTATTTAAATAAAACCGCAGCGTAATCACGAACGTTCCTTGACTAAACCGTCAACGCTCGCAAACGTCGCAAACTAACTGAACTACTGAACTGAACGCGCGTCTGTTAACTCCGAGGGAAACCGAAGTGGGGCGGAAACTCACGATTCCTAGTAGTGGGAGACACGAACGTTTCCGAAATTTGTCGACTGTATGATTCAACGGACTGATGCACCTCCGCGCGTACGTATGAAAAAGGATTTAATCGGTTCATAGGCGTTTATTCGAATAATTCTAATTTTATATACATCTTAATTGCCTAAGGATACATAAGCTTTGTATTGTATTATATTATAGCACCTCGAACGTATATCAGAATTTAGAGAACGGAAAGTTCTTTGCTCGTAAATTTTTTATCTTCGGAACGTGAAAAAGATGTGAGTCGACCAAGGATAGATAGTGTTTACGTATTCAAATTCTTATCTCGCCGAAGAATTTGTAAAATCGCACGATTTTATATAGTAGCATTTCTCAAGATCCAAGCCAAGTATATTTAACGTTTTTTATAGTTCATCGCGTTCTACAATTACGTATGCTACATGCTAGGTACATAAAATCGAAATGCAATTACACAAACCTGCTTCGAGTCGTTTCGTAGACGAGCGAGGTATAATAATATTATGAACCTTCTCGACTTTAATGCGTCTTGCTCGATGCTTTGAGTCGTACTGCACTCCCGTGTGGACGATCTTGAATTACTATACGCGAGATTCGTCGATCCCCACCACGTGCACGGTTCTCCCTCGCTGTTGCTCCTTATTCTAATCATCGTAATTAGTATTTCGTTTGTTATCAAGACATACCTATCAACGCTGCCCGCACGTATCTTCTTACATAACGTGCGCTTAATGCGATGTGCAAATTTCACTTATTCTAATCATCAAATGCTCGAGCTTTAAACTCGATACTCTCAGGACATTAGCACCTGTTCTTGGCTATCCAGGAATGCTTGCCGTCTGTTCTGTCTTCTCGATTTCATAAAAACCTGAGCGCACTCCACATTCTTATTTTAGATCCCGATAAATCCAATATCATCCTTGACACGATAAATGATTTACGCGGTCGGAATAAACAAATTTGTTCAACGCGTTCCACTGTCGCACAGTTGTTTCCTAGATATCGTGTGCTGTTCGTGTGCGCTCGGCCTGATCATCGCGGCGATTCCGCAGAACGGTGTGGAACGCTTGTCTTTAGGCGAGGACACCATCGACGAGGACGAGTCATCCTTCAGGGTGGCTTTGTCTTTCGTAGAAACGTACTTCGTCCGTTTATCTGTTCGTCTTCGTCTCTCGCGCCTCTTCGTTGGCAAGCAACGCGATCGCCAGATTGAGGGGGATGAGCTCGTATATCGTCTCTCCGACTCCGAGCTGAACACCGAAACGATAATTCGCTTATCATTAGGCTACGGATTTTTATGCAAAACATTTACGATACAAATCAGATACTGTGATTTAAATAGAAATTTCTGGTATCATTTAAGCATTGTGATACATAGTTTCTGTAAATGCATCGAACAGTGGTCTATCATCTTAATGCCGCTGTTATCTTACAACACGAGTTATGCGCGGCGCCGCACTTATCGGCAAATTGACATTCGTTTTTAATTGAAATTGCTTATTGCTTGATTTACGATCGTTCACGGTCTCACGTATCAATTTATTATTACCCGATTGTATTACCTCGTGCCTTCCGACGCAGTGGTAGATTCAACGAACGTAGTGAAGTGGTACATGCGGCAAGTCCCGCACAGAAGCTTGCGAATGATCTATACAGATTCACCGATATAAACCGTTGTACGCGTAACTGACATGAGTTTGATTAGAATCAATCGTACCTTGGTAATTAAAAACGCTAGGAACACCTGGATGATCACTAAAGTGCTCGTCATTACGTAGGCGACGATGACGATTCTCAGTAGAACCGGGCTGACGATCTCAGCGCAGCCGTTCGCGTTTATCGTTCTCATATCCTTCTCCTGGATCTCGGTATGCTCACACGGTGCCATTGTTCGCAGATTGCAACAGCTGAACGGTACGCTCCGGTCCCTGTACTCCTCGTCAGATATCGAGTTATGAACCGACATTTCCTCACGCGAGGCGTAATCCACCCCCTGATCGGAGAAAGCACGTCTCAGACGCTATTACATTTTCTACATTGGTTCGCACTTGTGTTTCGAGTTACCCTTTTCGAATGGTGGATTCACCTGCCAGTCAAACCGGAACCAATCTGCGTAGGAGGAATGGCCGCAGCACTGAAAGATGAACTGTATCTCGTCGATCGCGTACTTATAAGAGCTCGCGCTAATATACAGGTGCATCGAGCTGTTGAAAACGTCGATCAACGTTTCCTGCCGCACGCTTATGTAGTACCCTATGGAAACTAGGGTGGCCACGTTCATTACGGCGCATATCGCGATCACTATCAGCAAGCATTTCAGCGTCCGTCTCGTTTCCGCGCAGCAACGAGGCACCTTTCGTCTGATTAAAAAATCCAGTTAGTTTAATTCAGTTCTTGCACGTAGTAATGTTTGTTTAATTACGAAATGATAAAATTATATCAGTAACAAATACGTTGTACAGGATGTAACAAAAGGACCGGGATACCTTTTCACCATTACGTCTCGATCTTCATGTTACATTTTGCACATTGTATTGACTTTTGAAGATGATACTCACGCGCGTATGCTACGGACGGTTATCAGAGCAGTCGGTAAACCCAAGCTGACGTTTATCAAAGTGAAAATGACCGGTCTTAGACCACCGGCGAATCGAATGATCTGCCATTCGGCGAATATCTCTAGTATCAGCATGAAAAAACGTTTTGCCTCGAAAATCGTCAGAGTGACCGCGACGCCGTAACCGAATCTCACTTCCCACCCACAGTTGCATGGAAGTCTTGCGTTTTTCCTAAATACCACGTTGCTCTTCCGGCTGCTCTCGTTGCTCGACATTCAACGATCTTACTGAACCGTTCCAGCTTCTCATTTGGTACGATACCCCGTTGATTTATCTGTAAACGTCTTCTAGAATCACCGGTCTATGTCGATTAACGTTGAACTTATCCGATGATTCGTCGAACCACAGTGAAATAATGAGTCGAAGCATTGCATGTTCTGAATAATAAAGTCATCGAGCGTTGCTTTAGTAAAAGAAAACGACAAGGATCGTTGAAAATATGCGAACTACTGTTTACGTTACGACTTAGATAAAGCGTCGCGAAATTGCCGGTGACACGCGAGCTTATTATTTAGACGTTGTACACGATCATCTGGGGTGATGCCGGAAGTTACCGAAGAAACAACATCATTCGGCCGCAATTACTCGCTGTTAGATCGAATTGCATAACGAGCACCAATTTTCCATGAAGAATTTCAGAAAACGCGGTGCCTCATCACGTAATCTAAACTGGATCTCAATTGCGCTGCGTTTGAAGCGGGACGGGAAACGATTGGTAAAGACGGAACGAACATGTTTCACGGGTAAATATTTTTTTGATTACTATATCGAGCTAGTTCTGTTCTATCATAGCGTTTATCGCGATGTCATAGTGTCGCATCCAAGGTTAATTGACTCTCGACGTAAGATCTGCTCGCGCACTTGCTCAAGACACGTCGGTTTAGATTCGATTAACGGCAATCCTTTAATTGAACATTGAGACAGGGGGTGAGGCGAACGGGGAATATTTAGACGCGTCTCGAGAGCTTCATAATGAGTGACAGGTTTACGAGCCGATTGTTACAACTTCGTCTGATAGAGGAACGCTTACCAGACGCCATGGTGCGAGAGATAAGGCAGACTTTTTTTTCTAAAATTATGATACGTGGTTCAGTCTCTCGATTTTTTGAGGTTTGCCGTGTGGAGAGCGAAGATGGTCATCGATGGGTCATTGTCTTTGATCCGACGCCAATTTCGAGTCGATTCGTTTATTGACGGGCAAATATACATACATACCATACGTACACAGTGCTTTCGCTGTTATCATGTGTTACGTTTGTATTTACAATTCGACAAGTATAAAATACATTAAAAATCTCTTATCTCCGCAGGTACTAAGGAATTAGATTAAGCACGTTAATTCTTATTATCTAAATTGAGCTTCGATATCTTACAAATAAAAACCTAGCATCCAGTTAATCGTTTAAAGCAATGGGGAATACTTCACTGATTGTCGAATCATTGAGCGTGAAACTACCTACACCGTTACCCTTTCGACGAAATACTGCGGCTCTCTCTTTTGATTACGCGCGACTATTTTTAACTCAAAAGTTGATGCGATACTTGAATATGTTAACGTAAGACTTCTTCACGCCGTAACACCAGAACGCTAAGTACGGGAAGTTCTCCGTTAAATAAATTGCTAATCGCATTTGTCCATTGAAATACGCTCTGAAGAACTTGGACCACCAACGCTTCGGCCGTAGCAAGTATTTGTGGGTCATCAGCTGAACGTTCAATAATAATCGAGCGTGCCACGACATCCTCGACGGATCTGAAAACAACGTTTCTCCCTCGCAAATTTTATTTTTATTATTCCACTTTTATGGCTTACCTATTTTTAAGGAGTGATTGTTGTTCGTGGCGATTGACGAGGCGAAGATTAAAGTGAATTCGACGAACGCGTTCGGATCCAAGAAAGGATTCACGGGCCAGAGTGATTCTATTACAGTGCGACTCATCTCGTTGAAATCTTCATCGGAATTCGCGAGCAAAGGCAGGAAGACCTCGTCCAGAATCCGTCTGCACAGACCTCTCGTCACTTCGACGCTTCCGCTACAAATGTTGTATCTGAAATACGCGTCCATAGAGAATAATTGATTCTGTCAAAGTATTGTGAAATTTTTATCTGCTCGAGAAAAACGTATTCGTTCAATAAGTTCTATTGAATATAAATGAGTTTTATGATAACGATAAAACGAAATGGGAGAGGAAATTCATTTGGAGTACGAACTTGTCTTCCATCCCCAGCATGCTGCCGACGACTCGCCAGAGATGAATCAGTCCCTCGAGTTCCTCGGAACTGTTGTTCACCCCGAGGTAGTCGCCGCCCAGGATGGTGAAACCTATGAATCCAAATTGAGCCAATGCCATATCCAGTTGCGTGACTCTGCTCAGTCCAGCTTCCCAACTTCTGCGAAACGCTACGCAGTGCTTTTTCCGCACGATTTTCAGCGACTCCAGAAATCTTTTGGAAAACATCGAAGCGAATGGATTTAAAATTAGCATTTCACTTTTTATATTCATCTCTAATTTACATCTGCATTCAACATTCTCCATCGATCTCTAATTAATTTCAAACAAGTTTCACGGAAGAAATAATTGGGTAAAATTCTTGTCTCAGTGGGTCTGTCATGAGAATGCAGATTAGTCGAAGTTGATAGAACGTTCGCGGCACACGTGTCGGCCGTGGCATTTCGGATTTTCTCAGACGCAAGATTATTCGTCTACCGCTGTGTATATTCGGCGAGATAAATCGATTAAAATACCGGCAGTGCACGCGGCCGACGATTTGTTGAATGCCAATGAACGAGGTGACGCGACTCCATCGACCCTCCTCGACGGTTTATTTTCGTCGCTGCTAGGACAATTTCGAATCTGCGTGTAAAACCTGGCTTGAATCAGTCGATAAACGACGACCAACAGGTGTTCAACTATTAATAGCGATAGGCGACTAGAATAAGCTCTTATATCTAAAGGAGACACGATATTTTTAAACTGTTTCACGTTGACAACGAATGAATAAGTGACCGAAAGAGAAATAGGAGACGTAGATATTTATGGTGAATAAATCTAAAAGAGGAGCTCGTATTTAATTCGTTTTTCCACATTTACTAACCCGTTCTTCAATCCAGTATCTTTTCCATACCAGACCCAAGTGTGTAAGATAGTCGACACGTATCTGTGAAACGCGGCACAGGGCGTGCCACTTTGTCTGGTGAACACTAAGACGTCCTTCATCGATGGTACAGCAAACAGGGACAACAATCCACTGAGTTTGGCAATCATCATGGTGAAAGTGTTGTTATAAAACATCTGCTGGCCAAGATGAAATTTTTCCTCGTCGTAAAACGATGGCAATTCGGGTCGCAGCCACTCGAAATCCATGGTAGCGTTCGCTCCGTCTTTGAGCAGCGTTCGAAATTTCGACTCGACGACATCTGAGGTGGAAAATCAAATATTTCACTGTCCGAATAAATCTTCTCTTGATAAATTCTTTAATTCAACGAATCGTGAGACGGCGGACGAATGTAGTGATTTATTATTCGTGGCTAGACTTATGGTCTTCGCCTAAATTTTTAAGCATGCGAGCTAGCTATCGTTTTACAGAAGTTGTCACGATCCCTCGATTTTGTAAAACAAGCTCACGCACGTGGCACGCACGCTCGTGTGGGTGATCTTATGATTCGATACGCCGGAATTCATTTGGTATTCAGAGCCATCGAAAGTGGGTACATCTGTGCACTGGACGCGACGGGAATAAAAAGATAATAATGAGACGTAATCGAATACAATGTGCTTGCACGTGTTAACTCTGTTACCAAATTAATCAAAAAATGTTACATCATCCGGAAACGGTCTCTTCGATTCGTAGAACGCTCACTTCGAATTAACTAACAATTGTATTAAAACAATTATAAAACTGGTATAATTAAATAAATTACTGAATCTAATAAATACATGAATACATACAACGCATGAATATTAAATGTTTAGAAACAAATGTTCAGAATGATTCAATAGATTGAAACCTACTTCCGCATGACAATTCTTAACAAAGAAGCTATTATAAGAGATTGCGAAACTTCGAACGCATCATAATTAGCACTACGTTATTTGATCTAGCTTGAAAATCTCATTGATAGTAATTTACTGTTCAGTTCGTGGGTGGCATTCTTTTTTTATTTGTCATATAATTTAATCACATCCATTGCGACTCATGCGCCGTCCATACAAATATTCTAAATAATAATTTCATTTATTTTCTACACGCGTTGTAGAAAGTTAGATCATAGTGATTATGCCACGAGATAGTTGCGCAAAAGGATTACTTTCTCTACGTCTCTTCGGATTATATTTCTCGATTTGACGTATGTAGTATCGATCGAATAAATTTATCAGTTTTTGTGAAGCACATGCGATGCACCGAAGGCACGCAACTGTGAAAAGTAAGTCGAGGCCGTAGGTTTCTATTCGCACTTTCATTAAGTGCTGCATGCTTAGAACCTGTGCAACTCGATCCGTCGAGAAATGTGCGAGGTGCTAAACGATGCTCAAGGATAACAGCCACTTATGCTAACTGTATGAATTGAATTTTTCACTCTACGAGATTTACTGCGATTCTTCGATTTTATTGTTAACATACAATTTCAGATATCTGAAGCGTCGAAACAATAAACACTTATGCAATCTTCTTTTATAATATATACGCGTGCGATCGTGTCCTTCACGGGATTGGGAGAGGCACCCACGCCTGACGACTTTTCACTTCTTTGTTCGGAATGTGGAATCGTCGTTCGTTCGAAATAACGCGTTTCTTGCAGCGATAAAATGACGAACTGATAATAATTAGACTGCGAATTTTTATATAGAAACTTTTATGCCATTAATTAAAGAGTTTCATTTATTAGTTGAAGAATTACAATATTCACTTTTCTCTAGATATTCATTTTTCTTAGAAACGCATAAAATCCACGGTCTAATAATATTTTTCGCATCGAACGCGAAGCTGAAACAGTTTCCTACTTTCGTTCGAGTCTTCCTAAAATGATTCCTCCAATAATAAATGTGAAGTTTGGCACGGAAACTGAGTCTGGCCTACAGAGGAAAGAGGCCGTGTAATGGGTGCACTGCACTTCTCGAAAAAGACACTGACCTGCCAAATCCGTTTGTTTTCCTCTGTTCTCGGCATCCTCCGCGATCGTTCTCCTCATTTTCGTCGAGGGAAATAACGGTACTGAGCTCTCTCACTCGAAACGCATCTATCACACAGTGCACTGCACTATAAACTGTCCGCGTTCAACAGCAAATGTCACGTTGCAGCCTGACTTGGCGAGAACTCGCCGACCTCGGATCGCGAGCGATAAAATGGACCAATTTATCGTCACGCGTTACATGTCTTTTGTAAATAGTCACGTCTTCATCGGACGATCGCGCTGGCTGCATGCATTGCAAAGGAATGAAAGGAACAAGTTTCTATCGAACATGTTAGGAGAAAGGTGAGTCCTCCTACCTTTCGCTCGTTCCTTCCTTCCCCTCGCTGTGCACCAGCCGCACGTGAATGCGTGTGTCGAACATCTTCGGATCGAATGGAAAGGAATTTTGAAATTCTACCGATCAGATTCGTGCGGTTCGACTCGAAAACTTGGATAATCCAGCACAAGTTCAGGTACAGAGGTTCAAGTATTCGAATTTAAATGCTCGCATTGTAAATTGCTATCTCATTGAATCGGACTTGTGATTTTAATTCGACCGAGGTCTAGACAATGTGGAAAGTAATTCACTTTTACTTTTCTGTTCGTGTCCTATAGTAATGGCAGTGAAAGTGTCTACTATATTTTCGACATCCTTATTCGAGTTGCTTTATATGTGTCTCAAAATACGAACAAGTATAAATACATTGCTTTCTTTATTTTAATAATAGTTCATCAATAAATTAGCGTTTCGATATGTGATCGGCTCGTGAGTAATACTCATATACCACGAATATGCGTCATATTAAATACAGTAAGAAAAACTATTGATACTTAGTACATACATAAACATGTACACTTCGCGAATGAAAGATGATTTACGATGCGTCTTGTCGTCTCTAACTGCACTTGAACGAGAGATAAAGAATGAGCACAAACAATGCACGCGGATTGTAAGTTCAATGTTAAACACTGGAAAGTTGATGAGGGCACGAAGAAAGTTGAACGTGCAACGAGACGGTGATAACGACACTTATTTTTAATTCGAACGTGTATAAAATGTAAGAATCTCTACAGTCTGGAAGTACAGCCATAAATTTAAGAGATTCAGAGGTTTCAAAACAGGGTAAACGAACAACGACAGTCGAGCTTTGGAAAAACCATGTATTGTAGAATAATAATAGATTACATTGTTCATGGTAATAATGATATAATAAACCAAAATATACCTGATAATAATAATAATAATAATATAATCTAAAAAATAACACGAATACTGAATACATATTATTAACAATAATGAGAGGAGGGACTTTGGGGATGTGTGGCAAAAAAGGAAGGGGCCAAACCGCACAGAACTGCGATCGAATTAAAAGAAAAGAATGGAAAGCGAGAGGCAGTTGTAAATGATTAACATGATAAAATAAATAAGATAAATTTAACATCTCCGACGGTCTCCCAGTTTAAGCATTGAAGAAGAAGAAATTAACTAAACAGACCGTCGCAAAACGATTTTTAATCACGTTAAGATCCGCTCCTCTGTATTACGTATATGAAATCATCTGCTGTTCCTGAAATTGATCGAACGAAATAAAAAATAAGGGAACGATTGGGGAATGATCAATTTAAGACTTACTGCTAAAATAATTACGACAAATCGCTCGTTTTTGTTTAAAAAAAAAAAAGTAATACGCGCCGCGGCGCTGATTCATATAAAATTTAAATTTCTTTCTCTTTATCCTTTTGAAAAATAATAAAATAGATAATTTGAAACGCGTAGCGCCTTGCTTTCAGCACGCAACGTTTACATTATATAAAACAAGGAAAAAGCCTCTCGTGTATATATCGGTGTACATGCATATGCGTGGATTTTTTTTTATATATGTATAATATATAATTGTCTAGCGCACGCACAACGTGAAAACGTCCTACTTGCTTGTTAGCACGCGATAATTTTTTCCCTGTCGGAAGTTCCGTTCGCGGAACACGATGGAAGATCGAGGAAAAGCGAAAAGAAAAAAAAGAAAGATAAACAAAAATGACCGAGCACATTTTTCCACTCGAGAACCAGCTCGTATTAGGAATTATTTCCAGACATCTGGAAATCGTTAAATTGCACCCTGGTTTTGCGGATTGGTCCTTTCCCACCTGCTCTATGATTAAATTTAATAATGTTCACGAGCTGAGATCTTAGCCTTACTAAACGAAGCACCTCGAATATATTAAACAAAATAAAAAAAAGATACAGGCAGTCTGCCTGGAAACGTATAAAAGGAAAATAAATTGAGAGGACGACAAAGCGGGTACCGAGATTCACGCTGACGTTGCTTGCACTTCGTTTCCTTTTGGTTTCATTTAAAAAAAAAAACGAATCACGAGGTACATTAGTATGGGGTACTTTAAAATATCGAAGCGAGTAATTCGCAATTTACCGATTTGACGGACAAACGTTAAATAAATGGATAGCGAGACGACGTCGTTCCGCGTGGCAGCGATGCTTTGTATGTTTAAAATGCAAAACGGCACGTCGAATTTACAGAGGCCTCGTGGCTATTAAAAAGTAATGTGTCGATGATATTCGTGCACGCCTTGGAAGCTGAGTTTATTAATTGACCGTCCGATCTCTCAATCACACCAGACCATTGACCGTTCCTACACTTCTACGATACTCGCCCCGTGGCAAGTTAAAAGCGTGCGTCGAATCAACGAGAAAGAAGTTCTGGTCAATCAATAAATCGTCTTTTTATAATAATCGCCCCCGTAATGGAGGTTTGGCAGCCCTGTGTTTCTTCATTCGACTATCAAACTATGGCATACGTTAGAGACAATCAATGAACGTACTGAATCGACGCTTCGTTACTTCTCCTAATCTTAGAATGCAAAATTAATTAATCTCATCCTACGCGTGTGAGATCTTACGGTACGAGTATGAAAAATAAAGGAGGCGAAAGGTCCTCGTAAGGAAGCACTATCGCGTAGACGAGAACGCGCGTATCTGTTCAGCTACTCTCGAAAATCTAATTACTCACTAGAATCCATGATATTATTGTTATTGTGTACGGATTTTTTTGCATCCACACCGACACTAAAATTCGTCTAATTCCGTTGTAGATAAGTACACGACGACCAGTTCTCGACTCACTTCCCGTTTGAATTACATATGCGTTACTGAGATACCAGGCGTTGTTACTATCGGTCTTCCTCCTCTAATTGAAACTCGAAACTGTACTTGTATTCCAGACGTGCGCCTAGTCAAATCCAAAATCGAAAGCTCGCAATTGATTTTCGTGCAGCACCAGCGCGGGGAACGTCGATAACGCCTCTGTAGTTTCGTTGACGTAGCGTATCACTATTTTATGCAGTTTAATATCAGTTTGTTCTCACTCGTAGATTATCGATAGGCATTTACTGGTAATTGAATCACGTTCTTCACGAACGTGTATGCATACGCATGGGCTTCTTGTCGACACTTCGAACTTGTACGAACACGTGTTAACTTTATTGTTTATTATTTAATGCGTATCACTTTACTGAAAGATTCACTTTTCAGTGCGTCGATCCTGTCGAGATCCATCTTTAAAAGCTTCTTAAATCGTTAAGGCTGCGCATGTCCGCAGAATGTACTTAGGTATATTTTAAAACATCCGGTTTCACGTTTGAAAAAACTTCTTACTGTGATCCGTGTTGTCAAAAAATTATGCGAAGGAAGACGAATGGATTCGTCGAAAAATAAACGGTGGTCAGCAGAAAGCGCATTCTGATATTTTGGTACGATTACGGTAGTGGTGTGCATCGTGGTTTCGTGTCCCTCTCTTCGGCGTTCGTTTCTCAATTCTGATTCTTTTTATTTTTTATCAGTTAATGTCCTATCTATTTACAATGAATTCGTCGGTCGTTAGCTGAGCGCCAGCACTTGGTACCAACTACAAACTAGGATATCACGAGAGTACGGGACTAACTTCGGCCACGTCTTTGCAGTCTTGAATTGATAATTGAGCTAATTCGGTCGCGACCTCTTCCTGCGCGGTCGATTCCGTTTTCTTTAATATCGTGTACCCCTGCTGTGTATCTTCGTTCTCGCCGTTAATCTTAGCATTATTCTTAGCCTGTCCGTTCGTTTTTCTCTTGCCCGACGTCTCTTCGCCAGATACGCCCGGATGAATTTTGAACACGCTCTTGATGATGCTATTGACCGTCGTCTGAGAACGTTTCGGACTCTCATTCTTCTGGTCGTTAACGAATCTAATACGAATCGTTCTGTTGTTCTCTGTGTTCTCCTTCTGCTTGTTTCCTTTCACTACGACACCCTTTGACTTTGGATGTTTCTGATCGGACGAGTTCTGTCCATTAGGTACTTCCGAGTTTTTTACATCCTGCTGCTTCTCTTCTGGCGCAGGCGGCGTCTCTTCAGAATTCGCCGCTTCTCGTCCCGCGTTCGACGTAGATTCTAAACTATGAACAATATCATTTGATGTCCTAGATCCGTCAGAGATTTCACCATCGGAATCGTTACTTTTCTTAACTTCTTCGTCCAAATCCGTAACCTGCACGCATTTCGTTTCTTCGGGTGAACTTTTCTCGGTAGTGACTTTATTGGTCTCAGCGGATATGTGATTGTTCGCGTCCTGCCGATCGTTCGACGGTACCTCCCGCTGCAAGACTTTAACAGGACTCTTTGGTTTCGTGCCATTATCGGATGCAATCTTGTTCTGGCAGTTTATACACTGTAAGGAAGACTGTTTCGAATGGGTGGGCGAATTCACTTGTCTTTTGCTCGCGTTGTTCTTCTGCGCGACGCCCATGTGCGGTCTGCCTAACCGTAGGACGTTCATCGGCTTCTGATTCAATTCAACACCGTAAGACGACACCAGTTCATACTGAGGGACCGGTTGCACATGATTTAAATGTATTTGTTGTTGCTGTGGTTGCATTCTACGCATATCGATGTGCATCGCGTTGTCCATCCGTTGTTGATAAGTTATATAAGGTTGAAACGGTGGCGCCAAATTGGTGTTCATACCCGGATTCACGTTCGTGTTCGCGGCTGGTCCGTAATTAAGGGCAGCGTTAGGATGAACGTTCGAGTTTACATACTGCGGCACCATCTGCCTAGGTAACTGTTGGAACTGGTATTGGGGCGCTGGATACGCAGGGCAGTTTTGTTGCATGATATCCTGTGCCATATTGTCCCTACAAACTCTGGAACCGATCGGTGCCATCCGAGAAACGTTTCCTTGGTACTGCTGCGGTACCGACTGTCCCGACTGGTACATCTGATCGTTCTGCGTGATCATCGGATTTTGAGGTTGATGGTATCCTTCATAGTGCATACCCTCGTTGCTCATTCTACCGTACGCTACGCTCGAATGATACTGTGGCGGTTGCGAGGTGTAGTCCTGTTGCTGATGCTCTTGGTATTGAGGATACTGCGGAACAGGTGGCTGCGCGTCGATCCAAGTCTCCTGTTGCGGTGCAGACTGCTCCATGTCTCGCCTCGCTTGTACCGCGTTCCATACGTCTTTCAATTCCCCGGTAATGTCTCTGTCTTTCAGTATCGTGTACTGCCGCGTGAACACTATGCCTGCGTTCATCCTTTCCACGAAGTCTAGTAAAAGTTCTATTAAGCCGGCTTGTTTCTGTAACAAAAATACGGTCGTGCGAGATATTGCTTCTGTTATATGGGTTCAAATATAAGAATGTTGTACTATACGCACCTTTGGATCTCGAGCGTTTTTCCCGTTCACCCGAAGAACTTCGGGATTAGCCATCACAGCGAATACCACAGCCTCTGCTTTCGTACGTGGCGGTCTGACTCTCATTCCTCCGTAAAACTGTACAGGCAGAGTTGGTAACAACGGCTTGGCAATCTTTTCCCAAGATAAAACGTTTACGTAGCATGGAACGGCGGTACCCTGACGTAGCAAAAACAGTTTTCCTTACGTTGTAATTCGTATTATATCAAGATAAGATGACTTGTAATGAAGAAATACAATCTATATTAATGAATGTACCTGTATAAAGTCTTGGATGCACATATGAGGCTGAGGAGGGTTTTTAAAAAGACGAGCGCCGTTGCGCTTCATTCTAGTCGTGCCACTTTCTGTCATTTTTAACTGAAAATTAATTTATTTCGAGTAAATAAACGCTATGGGGTTTCGTGTACGTTTCTCAAAATTTCGTGTTTAAATATACACGTAAACGGAGATACTTGAAATCTGATAAACAAATACTATTACGAGTTCGTAAATACTATTTATTATTAACACTTCCACTCTAATTATTTAATAAAAAAAGAAAAACCTTCGGTGGATTGCTGTTAAAATGAACGAGAAGAAAGGGAGATATTAGAGGTTTTGAATATTCGTAACTGTGTCAGTTACGATGCGACTGTAAATAGGAGTAGTAGAAGGGGCGGTTGGAAATTCGTTGTAACAAATGTGGCGGAGTAAACGCGTCAAATTGTATGGCAAACAAACGTTTCACGAATTTCCCAAGCCGTGAGAGAACGAGGGGAAAAGTCTCTGAATCGCATGCCCCGCGTATCAATTCAACAGGAGCGGTTGAATACAGAAATCGAAAAATCTTCGCGATACCCCTCGAAGCATTTGATGCCCTATCGTTACTCGACCATCATAGATTGTCAATATAACCTTAAAAATCTGAAAGTTTACATACCGAATCTTTCAATAAACACAAACGGAACAGGTACTCAGTAATGCGACGCGTTACATAGGCAATGTATAGGTTTTCTGTTACGTAAACTCACCCCGCGATGATGTTTCACGCGTATAACCACTCAAACAAGCAGAGACACGATGCGACACATTATCGTACAGCTTCGGTGGAAAAGATCCATCGCTCCTTTTGTTTATTATTTTTCCGGAGTTTGCGCGATGAAAATTGACTTAAGGCGCTCCGGCTAACTTGTGTGGCAGTTTTAGCAACTAAATCGTCCAACATGGCCGAAAACGGAAGTCACGCTTGAGCATCAGTGTGAAGTGGTCTCACAGTTCCCTAGATATCATTTTTATTTCATAATCTTATTAATTGTTAATTTCTTTCCGGATAATCATCATTCATCATAAGTATTCATAGTTTCGTTTGGTACAATGGTATTTACGATACATTACATATTGCGAAGCTAAAATCGTACGATGTTCCATGTTTTTGAAGTAACAATTGAATTGTAATGTTTCTGCAAGTGCGCGGGACAAAATTATACAGCGTGACTTTCGCGGTTCAACAAAATACCGATTACATAAATATTAATGGCAACGTACAATGTTTCGCTTAGTGTTTGCACATTATTGTACTGTCCATCGATCGTGTGTCATTCAAGAATTCTGCTGGCTATGTATTTCCAGACGACAACTGCCTGTATGATTGCGCGCAATTTTTACCAGCCGCTTAGGTAAGTCCACATCCTTTTTCTGTCTGCACGACAACTTTTCTACTGCGTTTTTTATCTCAACTGCGATATACCGCAAACACGCCTTACGATGACACATCGTGTATCTCTTATTACTCTGATTATAACATGCCTTTATTTTTATCGGTTTCCTGCGCACCGAGTCGTGCTGCAATATTTGTTATAAAAATTTTTACGGAAATTATTCACGTCCATCCCGCATTATATTATTTTATATTTGCGTACTCTTACACTTTCATGTACAAAAATGCCGTTGGACAATTGTTTCTGTTTCCCCGTATAAAAATCATTCTAATTCTGTCAGCAAATTTTTATTTCACAATGAATCCAGAGAATATTATTATAATGAATTATAATCATCGCTATTATATTGGATCTGATGAAAAAAGTTGCCACTATCAAAAGAGCTATTATAATGAAGGTTTTTGTTAAATCGAACCCTTCAGCTCTGTAATAGCGAACCGTGAGTACTTGAGCTATTTTTACGCATCGGGGATAAGTGTCAAGGGACGACATTACTGATGGCATGATCATTATTTCAAATTAGTCGGCGCAATTAGTCGCACGATAATTAGGCGATCATTTCGAATAAGTTATCGGTGGTGTATTCGGACGAGCACGATCTCGCGGCGCCAGTTGCGGCCGGGTATACGTGGCGAGTATCGTGGGGTACCTGGATGGGGCCTCGTTGGGTCCACCGTATCATTATGACGCCTCGCAGGCAACTATCGATCCCGATCGATGATATTAATAGTCGCTAACTACAGTCTTCCACGCCGCTCGCGTTCTACGCTGTGTTTCGTCGGACGAACCAGCGTTTTTTCGCCTTCTAAGCACCATCAGTGCACTGAAATCGATTCACCCCGCCGGTTTTTTTCTCATTCGCTCGTGATAATCGAGTCGTAAATAAATTTACTACTGATAGAGGGAAAATACTTTTACTAAATCTCGAAGCAAGTTACACAATCTCGTAATCGTTCGAACAGCAGATGATAAGTGTATTGAATTTTGAACGGTGCATTCAATATGCAAAAACGTAGAAAATATTCCAAGCGAATACTATGACATTCCATTCATAAATATTTTACTTTACACAAAAATCACGAATTCTCCTATTGCTCGTTTATTGTTTACGAACTGCTTCTTCTGGAAATTCCAGGCACGATAATTCTTAAATGGTGTTGGCAATTTAAGTCTCAGCTGTTTTGTTATCTAATTTCATTGATCACCGTGATTACGTTCGGGTGTTGAGGACACGTTATCTATCGGTCCTGCACAAGTTTACAGATTTGTAGCTCGTTTTTGTATGCTGTTCATCAATTACTCGTTCTCCCTGGTGGGTACATTAATATGCTAGAAGCGACGACCTTGTTCTCAAATGATTTATCACGGATACTTTAATCCGAGGAGGAAAGCAACCGGTTTCCGTACAACGCGTTTTCATAAAGTCAATGCAAATCCCTTCGATCTTTCATTACCGATAATACCCGTTTATACAATTTATTCTTTGTTTATTTATCATATTTACTCGACTACCGTCCTATACAATTTTGTAACAAAAGATTTATTTGTCAATTAATTAATATTCAATGTTCGAGACAACAGATGCGAGAAGCCACCACCTGTGGCAAGCCCCGCGTCATCTCATCGATATCTCGAATCTGTATCAGTTTTAATTACGGCGCTCGGACCTCGTAAACAATTATCCTCGAAACGGCGGCCCCCGGGGCAGCCTACATGGGCCTCTTCCACCTATTTCGTTTTATCCTCTCGGAATCCATCCTCGCGAAGGTGCAAGGGAATCGTTCGGGTTCGAGGGGCCGCGTCTCGTGTAATTTTCATCGAGTGGGTGGATACCTATTATTTCGTATTACAGCCTCCTTACCGATCGTCCCGTGGAACCGCGACTTCGCGTTACGTTCGCACATCTTCCGCCTGTTAACACGCTTCCCGACACGCCGCGACTTTAATCTTTCACGCGGAGAACCGATCGTCTCAAGTGTTGTATCATGGGTCTCAAAATTCGAGGCTCGAAACCGAGAACCGATAACGTCACTCTCTCACGCCTCGTTTCTTTTTTTATTTTTCATATTTTTTGTGTCTCGTTAAATTTTTATTTATCGGGGAACATGTGCGACGGTACCAATTAGGAGAATGCATTTTTTTCATCATTTGCACGTCGAATCATCCCTTCGGTTTCATACGAGAATCCGAAAACGTTGAAATGATCGCGACGAGAATTCTCGTCAGGATTGGTTCGAGGCGTTAAGCGAGTTCGTCATCCAATAAGTAGAGCATAATCATGATAACGATCTCATCAAACGTAACGCAAACTCGAATCGTCTCCTCGAATCGGTTAAAACGAAGTCGAGTCGAAACAGGATTTTCAAGGTGTCATTGCATTTAATTCACACCTACGATAATTCGATCGCGTGTGCGATAAAACTGATCGAAAGATCCAGTCGTTACGATTCTACATGTAGAAAAGCGTGTTTTAAAAATGACCCGTCGGTATCCTCTGTCTAATCCAGTTGCTCGTGAAATTGGAGCGATGAGCACGTACGTAGCGTATAAGTTTAAAGCGTTGAAGTGGTCGCAGCTTGTTCTACTAGCCGTGAATCTGAACGGATTTCGCTGATGGTGGCGCGTCGAATGAAATCCAACGAGGAGCGGTGATAATAAAAATATGCTTCCCTGTCGGTGTCGAGCCACGCCGATCTCGTTTACATTGTTTATCGCGTTTCACGCGACGCACGCACGTCGTGGGCCCTCGAGGAGCACGATTAGGAACGAACGGTTCGGATAATATAATAACGAAAAAAAGCCAGGCAGATATAAAAATAAATAGTCGGGGAACGGAGAACCCGACGTGCCACACGCAGAGACCACGCGAGACGTGTTTATAGTAATGAGCCTTGTCGTTATTTGTCCAGCGAAAGGGATTTATCGAGATACCTCGTGAGATCTTGTTGCTCGATCTTCTTCGTCGTCGTCGTCGTCGTCCTGGTGTCGTCCTCCTCTTTCCACCTTCGACCCTTTCCCTCTCTCGCTCCGCGCCTCCTTATTTTCTCTTCGTCGCGTCGCTTTCTTTCCTCTCTGCCGCGATGGCCATTCAATTCTCCCCTGTTGCGGCTTTTCAAGCGATTCGCTCGTATGAAAGCTCCGTGTCGTAGCGAATATTACTCGAACTGAAAAATGTTCGCCTCCGACGGCTCTTCGCGAGGGTTTCGCGAGTCCGAGATGACGGAGTTTCATGGGGTTTTAAGTGCGAGGGAGATTCGTTGAAACGTCCGCGCTAATTAAAGTACTTTTTTATTGGCGCACCGGTGTTCTCTGAGTAATCGATACCTATTGTTAGTCTCTTGAATCGTCGTTTTAAGACGCAGACGATGGAACAGAGGGATCTGATTAAAAATTGTGCAGACAGAGAATCATCCCATTGTTACTCGGGTTCCGTTAGCTCATCCACGACAGCGATCACGCACGCCTCGCGTTTTCGCATTTTATGAATCCCCCTCGTTCTCCCCGGCGAGGCACACAAATCATCTGAATCGTCACGCATTAAGAGCGTATTACAGTGATTGGAAAGTGATAACCGTAATAACCAAGCCACGGAATACCCGGGCCCGGTGTACGTCGGACGGGGAGGCGTCGACCGATCAGGGAATCAGCTTTAAATCGCCGATAATTTCTTTCCCCGTCCTCGTCTGCCGGACGAGGGACGTGCCGTGGGTATCGAATGCCCACCAGGTACAACGGGTGATCGGCTCGTAAAACTTCGTGACAACCAAATTATGCGAATGCAAATTCCGTTTTTCCCTAACGAACTCCCGATTAACCGTGGAAATTTCATTTCATTTCACGAAGGAAACAGTCGTTCGGCTCTCCCTTGAACGTGTCTCCGGAACAATCGTCGTCTCATTTGGAATAGAGATGGTTTACGGTAGTGCGACGAACCTGAGGATTTTTGTCGGGACGCGAAGATGGGTTAACTTCCGCGTGCGCAGATACAAATCACCGGAATTGTCACACATTACGGGCGTATTACAGTGATTCGTCGGGAGATAGGGTTAATAACGTGGGGAACAAAGTACATGTGTATAGGGGGCAGGCGGCAAGGCGTCGACCGCGCAGAAAATCATCTTTAAACCGCCGATAATTTCTCGGTTCGTCGTTTTTTTCGTGCCTTCGGGGGGGCACGAGGTGTTCAACAGGGGGAGGGCGGGAGGGAACATGGTGGCGTAAGTATATCGCAGGCACGAGGGTCACGAGCGGGGCCCCGGCCACGGTGTGATCTTATTATACCGCAAAGCGATGATGACCGTGTTTAGGTGTTGGCTTGCCAGATTTAAGAATACACCGGCGGTGCACCTTCTCTCTGGCATCGACGATTATGGTAACGAGGCCTCTTTAGTCACGTTGACGTACACCTTATTCGCGCGTTCGCGTTCACGCTCGTTCCCCTGTTCCCGGTCTTATATGCCGGTTTAACGCGGCCGACCATTCTATGTACCGAACGACCGAGCAGAGTGGTTTTATCGGTGCCTCCTTATTGAAACTTTGTGGTTACCACGATGGCGGCTGCCTTGCCTCGGGATCTGTCAAAAAGCGTTAGACGCCCCATCGAACGGCACTACGATTCTCCGTTTCCATCCAACAGACTCCTATTTTGGTCCGAGATATCCGAACCATTTTTTAAGAGGTCTGGCAAATCATCTTCTAATCGTCAATTCGTTCGAAATCATTTCCTAATTTCTACTGACTGGTCTGAGATTGCATGTACAATTATAAGAAAAATAGGTAGTGAGTAGAAGTTGGGATATTTAGTGATGTTCGTATCTGCGTCGGTGGGAATTGTTAAAAAATAGGAAGGTGGTTTTTGGGAAAAGGGATTCGGTGGTATCGATTGAAATTTTCGTAGAGGATTCGAAACCGGTTATCGGAGAATGGATCGTGTGTCCGTTTGGGCGCGAGGATAAATTAAAAAAATTGATTCGCCCGGGAATCAGACTCGCGCGGCACAAAGGGGCATACTAGTGGCTTCGCGAAAACTGGGGAGCCTCGGTAATTATCGGTGCAACCAGACGTAGCCGAAGGAAAACATTGCACATTTAATTATCTTACCTGTTCGCGAAGCTCAATACGTGTATCCGTTCTTCGGTTTTCCAATTATTGATTCTTTCAATTAATGACGATGTAACACGATACATTTTACTATTTTATGATACAAACTTCGTTCCTTACTATGCTACCGTCGATTAACGAATGATCAAGAATAATATCGAACATTGATATCCAGCATCGTTCCAGTAATCCGTCCGTGTCTTCTTTCATCTTCCAAGATTTCTTTGGTGAGCAACGAACTGATGTATCGTGAGATTTCTCACGAATTGTCGAGGCATCGGTTGCCGTGGGGTTGAAGTCGGAACAGGGTGGAGGAGGCGTTCGATGAAGTTGCAGGTACGCGCAGACTCGTTAATGGCCGCGAGAACCGAGGCTTCGATGTCATTTCTTGTTTGCGATGTGTTGTTGCCGGTGTGAGATATATCGGGCCTAATGACAGGCCACGTCGCGCCGACATCCTCGCACCCCAGCTTCGTTCCTTTTATCCCGCTACGTGATTTTTCATCGCTTTTCATGGCGAGCCGAATAATTTTTCATACGTGCAACTTCGACGAAAGTGAGAGACCCCGAGCATGGTTCTTTAATCATCGTGAAAATCTATCACAGTCTACTGATTCTAATTCCGAATCGAGATTGTACGTGGTATAATCGATCCGTTCGTTGCCCGAGGATCGCAGGGAATATTTCATTGACAAAATCAGGGATTTTCGCACGAAGGCGAAGAGAGGACAGGACCCGATGGAAGATCGTATATCGCTCGAAGCCTGGTGGAAGGGTTTCCTCGTGTGCAAAGGCGACTACGAGACCGTCTCGCCGTGGTTCTCTTGCCATTTTCCAAGGTGGCTGCTTTATTATTGGCACGGGGCCTTAAATCTCGTAGGCGCTCGTAGGCCGTGCTCGTCGAAGCCTCCTCTCGTTGCCAGTCCGCGCTGGCTATAATACATTATGCCTACCTAAGGCTGTTAGTGGCCACCTCGTGCTGGCGCGTTAAGTTATTAGAGAATCAATTACTCCTTGCTATTGTTTATGACGGCCCAAGGCTCTGACGCGTCTCCCTCGTGCAACCCTCTCCGTTTCGCCCGAGTAACGTGTTCCCTCTCGTTTTTTCATCCTCTCCGTCCTCTTCTGCCTTCCTTCCTCCGCGGTCGTTCATCGTACTGTCGGCGCTATTCCGACGAGCTCTAAACAGGCCTCGTTTGTACCTCGCGTCCTGTCGCTCGTTTCAAAGAGTTACCATCGACTCGTCGCGCTCCCCTATTCCGCTAACGAACAAACGTTCATCATTCTGGGTTAACATTTTTTTCGAATATCCGCATAGTTCTGATTGCACGCTGGCATTGTTGAACTTGTGGTGAAGTTCTCTAATATGAAATCTGTTTAAGTCTAGAGATGCTTTGGAAACGGTCTGTGTCGAGGGTTTCGTCTCAGGGCAGATGGTATCGGTAGGAATTATTAGAATTCTTTTTCCTCGAAAGAAGATTGTTCCTCTAATCTAACGTCCGTCGCGGTGGAGACTAATATCTCGGCTTCTTCGTTCCTTAAATACTAGATCAGAATCTTCACGTTCTAGCCTGGATCGTATTCTGATTTTATACATTGACGGTGAAACTAGACGATTTTTATGACGATTTAAAATATTGACACTGTTTATACGAGTTTATCGGGGAGGGTTCGGGGTTTTCGTGAGCGCGGACAGGACGTGGTTAGAAACGTGGTCGCGCGTTTGCCCGTTCGAGCGAAAAGACGAAGGCTGCGATGGGTGGTCGATCGTGCATGAATGTTTCATGGCTCCTAACTATCCACGAAACATGATCGATGGCCGGTTAGCACTCCACTGGCCGGCCCTTATGCCGGGCCCGGGGCCTGTGTCGGTGCGTGCGTGCGACCACACACGCCCGTTTCACGTCCGTACGTGTGCCTCGGTGTGGCGTGGTTGCGCGAGGCGTAGTTCATAAATACGCTGCCATTTGGCAGTAAATCTTGGTAGCCACCGAGAGACCGGCCGAAGGTGGTCTCTCTCGTCCTCGTCGGTTCTCCGCGGCGTTCCTCGTTGTTAATTACCGTGTTTTAACACCTAGTCCCCACACCAGTTATGCTCCGCGCCCGTTCAGCTCCGCCGGCGTTCTCCGTCTCGTTTCACGTCCCTTATTCTTGGTTGCCGCAGGACTCGCGCCAGGGCCGAGTCTTTCTATGAGCTTCTATACAAACGCGGTTCTCTCCTTTCCTTTCGCGTTTCTTGTTAGCCACGGGGACTAATGAGTGTCTTTGCTTTACACGGTCCCATTGTGTCCGCGGGATTCTCGTTACCTGTTCATGCGAGTCATGTTGTCATGCTCGATCGGGACGGGATATCTTCTCAACGAAAGCAACAGGAAGATCTTACTAATGGTGCTCGTAAATCAATAAGAGAAACTTTCTTGACGATTCGTCGATTCGAAGACACTTCGTCAGTCTCGCAATTGAGTACTTAACAGTACGTTTGCTCGCGATCGGTAGGCAGAACGATCGATCGGATCGATCACGGAATGGTCTGGCCGGCCCTGGGGCGACGAAATCGCTCGTCCCAGAAGCGACCGCGCCCAATGGCAGCTCGGATTTCAGCATTTTTCGAAGCAGCCCGTCGGCTCACCGTTAATTATACATTTGCCAAATATTACTGCTACCAATCCCTCGTAAACCCCTACCGACTAGGCTACGATACCAATGCACGTTTCCTAATTGGATTTCCCATTGTATCGATCAAGCAACAACTATACTTTACATACTTTATATCGCTTATCATCTTTTATAATCTTTTAACACTAGAAAGATTATTCATTATTATTTGTACATTTGCCCAAAAGCAGTCAAAATGACTTCCTTGGGCAATCTAGTGTTAAACCATTGATTATCCCTCGAATCACCGATTATCTTAGAAACTGTACGAACCATCTTTAACAATGTTTTTTGGACACTCAAAAAATAGGAAATCGTTGAAACTGTGTAATAGCGTTCTCCCTGGTGGACATACATATATCAAGGCTCGGTAGCTCGTTAGGCATGTACAACGGGTTCGCGATGGCTGCGGCCCGACGGATAATAACCGTGCATCCTGTATCTCTAATTGCGGCGCAGGGTTAGGTGCACGGTGGCCGGTCTAGGAAGGCCTCCTCTTCGTGGTTCCTCCTCTTCGGATAAGGATCGGCGAAACCACGGAACGGTCGTTGGCCAGGCCCGTTCGACTTTGAGGGTAACAGCCGGATACCCGAGAAATATGACGGCCAGGAATTAATATGCACCACCCGAGATATGAATGGCGTTACGCGATTATCGGCTGACCTGCAAATTGATAGAAAATGATGGGTGTCGACGGGAGACGCGTTATGATCGATAGAATTTCACAAAGCCTGGGTGTAGGATTTATTAGAATTTTTTCCGTACATTGAAAATCGATAGAAATAGGCAAATGCAGAATGTGGAGCAAAACTCTGAATTCGATGAATGAGGTAACGGATAGTAAAAAGAAAAGGATTCGTTGAAAATCAAGGATATAGCCACGAGGAGCGTAGTTAGTGTATGTACGTACGTATGTAGGTATCGATAACAGAGTGTCGTCGGAGCGCGAGAAAAAGGGCGTGACGTATGGTACCCCGGGGTCCTGCGATACGAAAGCGCGTCTTCCCAAACAGCACCACCGCCGTTGTTGCTTATATTATTACCGGCATACATATTTATGCGTGGAACACGCAAGACCCGTGGAGGTGGAACGGGAATGGAAAGAAGAAGAAGAAGAAGACGAAGAAGAAGAAGAAGAAGAAGAAGAAGAAGTAGAGGTAGAAGAGGCCCACGAGGATAGGAAGAGGGAACGGAGTGAGGAATGCGCGAGAGAGGACGCCTCACGTTGGCTCGGTTGAGTTAGTTATTACTGAATCAATTACCCGTTCGTATTTATAGAGTGTAGCCGTGTTTCTTTCTGTTTCTCTCGACGCTCTCGATCTCCCCTTATGCCTCACCTTCTCCTTCCTCTTCCCTCCTGACGCTGTCTTCCCGCGAACCTTCGACTGGATCGAGAGGAATCTCTGCTCTCGCGCGCCGAGGAAGATCGTATCGGGATACGACCGGAAATTCACGGCACCCCCTCGAAAATATACGGCACTCATCGCTCTGGCCACGCAACTTTTGCTCTTTCCTCAATTACCGATTTCTTCAGAAAATTATTTTATTCTCGCGACGAACGCGTTCGCAATGCGTGAACTCCGAACCGGATCTATCGATGGCTAATCGACCCCGGGCTCCCAATCTAAAATTCAATTTCCTAGTCGCTAACGGGCGACGTTCGCGGCACGTAGAATGGGGATTACAATACCGTCCCACTGGCTCGTTTCCTCTGCCCGTATTTACGAGTCGCGGCGCATTATGGTCGCGTGACTTTGGGGACCGGTGCCCGTTGGTATCCGGCAATGCATCGGTAATGAAACGACCCGGGCAAGAAGCAATAGTCGTAAATAGTCGGCTACCTACTTACTCGAAGCGCGAGAGACGTGGTAATTGTTTTGTTAACGTTTGGCCCTGTTCTTATTCACAGGACCAATGCATCGGCTGAGAAATTCACTCTGGCATCTGTTTTTCCTAACATCGATTCGAGCAGACGATTGTTAGTCTTATTCACAGATCGGATCAATCTTGTCTTAGTCACAACAAGAAAGAACAGTATCAAAAAGTGTAATAGTAATTGACTCTTGGAGTTAGCCTACTGTTCTTTCTTCTACTGTGCATTAGCCTCTGAAATTTCGTTAAACATAGAATTAAATGTTTTTTGCGATGAGTCTAATAAGGTAGAGAATGTAGAACGGGATTAGCATTTTCAATTTAGCTGGGAACTGCAACGAGGAAATTGGTTACAGCTCTGGAAGTTAAACGCGCCGCGAGGGCTATAACTTCTCTGCTCGCTTGTAGACGAATCAGAGACGTTACTCGGTACATAACCGAGTTAATCGCGTCTGGTTTATGTCCGATGGAGTCGAATAGATACACGGTCGATCGGTCTAGACTGCGATTTCACGCGATGGCGCCTGGTAGAGTTGCACAGTGCAGTTCATTGTAAATTTACCTTGGAATTTTATCCGAAATCAATTCGATGGATTTATATGAATCAGGAATTAAGTTGGACTACATACTTCGGGTTAGACGTTCAGTTTACTTGGTACTGGTTAAAATTTGTGGGGTCGATGCGAGCTACTCTCGAAATTTTTTTTATTGTTAACATTTACTAATAACTTGTTATATGACTGTAAATAATATAAAAAATATTAAAAATTAATTTTAGACAAATTTCTTTACATATTATTCTTTCACAATGCAGTCATTTTTACTGCTTTGGGCAATATAGGTATATATTAAGTTTCAGTCTTTCTAGTGTTAATAACGACGACCACCTAACAAGTCCTGCGTCACGTAATTAATACACTATGAAAAATAGTTATGCGGTGTGAAATCGATCAACTACTTTAGAAAGATGATTGTATGTGACAAAGGTGATGTCTGGCAACGGTAAGAATCTAATAGAAACACGTTAGGAGCGAGTTTTCGAGAACGGACAGCGGGAACATCAATTTGTTTAGACACGATAATGAGGGTATCGTTAAGAAGAATAATGATCAGCGTGTGCCAGTTTCCCCTTCCATATGAACAACCTTTCATCCTTTGATACACCCCGAAAGGCGCATCACCGGATTCAAACCCAAAATCGCGTGTAATGTACACGGGCCACGTGCCGGTGACGTTCACGTGCTAGAAACCCGTCTTATGATACTTGCGCTAATATCGTAATTCGTACGATACACGAGACTTCGAATTATTCTATTTAATTATTCTCGATTCTCTCGTTTATCGATTCTCACGAAATTTGTCGATGGATGAACAGACGATGAACCTTATGCAAGAAAATTAAATGTATACAACTGTTCATGATATCAAAAGTTGAATTGGAAAATTTACTCGGAACGCATTAGTACAGTGGTGGGCAAAGTACGGCCCGCGGGCCAACTCCGGCCCGCGAAATTATTTAATCCGGCCCGCCGAGGGCCCATCGACATGGATAGTATATGGCTCGCTGTAATTACGTTTTGACGGTCGAGAAATATAAAGTGCATTTTTTCTATAATTCTGGCCCTCCTCTAGAATTTCTTAAACTTTGTGGCCCCCCATTAAAAAAGTTTGCCCACCACTGCATTAGTAGCACACAGTGTCGTTGTGCATAAAAATTCACTGCCCGGTCGTCCGGCAATATTGTTACGACTTCCGTTATTGAGGATGTAAAAGACGGAGTTGCTGTTTCTGCCAGATTTCTCACTCCGGACTTTAACAGAGTGCGACGGGCGTTGAAGGGTGATATTCGCACCGGCGCCTCTCGTCAACGCCTAATGCTGTCCAATTAACGCGACGGAGCCATTTAACCGAATGCCACGACCCAGATCTTCCCTCGAACCTGTTGTGTACCTGTTCGCGGCGCGCCGCCGCCGCCGCCGCCGCCGCCGCGACCCTCGTACGTCGTACGTGAGGACATACGACGTCGTTAATGCGTGCACGGAAGTTTTCCTCGTAACTGATACTTGTCTCCGTTCTCCAGTTACCGCGGAGGAATGGTACCGCTGGCCAGGGTACCATGACCACCTCAGCCGTCGCATTCGTTGCGCTCGAACGTGCAATTTCGAGACGGGCTGCGTGTGTCCCTACCATCGCCCGTTGCCCCCGTTATCTTAGCTAACGCGACGTTTTCTCCAACCTTGGGATCGTCCGAGCACGCATCGACAGCCAGACGATCTTAAGACAATCGAAAGTCGAAGGATATAACCAGAATGGAAAGTATTGAACGAAAAGTTCGAGAACGTTACACGGTTCATTTAATTTTTCCTCTGATTTCTGAGTAAGGACGTCGCGTCTCTGTACGGATGATAATTAAGTTGGTATCGACGAGTTTTTCGAGAACCTATTACCGCGGCTGTCCCTGGCCACGTGTTGATTCACGTGCACAATGAGAAACGCGCGATGCTACCCACCGTATTTCTATACGCGATACCAAACAGAAGGGATCCCTGTAAACACGCGGTGGGGATGTTAACAGCCGAGGGTGTCGCGTAACGAGATCATACATAGGGTAGATTATGCTCTCTTCTGATTCACCGTTGTTCACAAGATATTTATTCATTCAGTTACATGTGTATGGATTAGTGTCTCTTTGTGCGAGATCATTCAGTATAACGATACGTACATCAACTATGTATAACGAAAAGACATGTAAAACTTGAACAATATAATTTCAAATGAAACTAGTGTAAATGAGCTAGTCGGCTGTTCCAATAGACGGTCTGTCAGCGAGAAAAGGTAGCGCGAGAATTAATGTATAATAGATTATTTTTATTTTCCCAAAACAATGCGAATGGCCACGATCTCGAAATGAACCGTGGTACGCGTAACTAAAAGGACGCTGGAGGTAAAAAGCATCCCGTCAATCTTCACCCCGTAGGACATAATTGAGTTCTCCCGCGTTTCCCAGAGCTCGGGGGCTCTTTCTCGTGGTTAGAAGAAGAGAGGTTCGTCCTACCGATGGATTCACGGTTCCGCGGATGAGTCTACGGGAGGATGAATCGTGGCCACGGGAGGACGAGCAGCAGGGGAGGAGGCTGGAGGAGGTGGTAGGAAAAGGAACGGAGGCGGGTAAAGGGGCTCTCACGTTACCTTCGGTGCGGCCAGGTGTCGGGTTACCTCCGACCTCATCTTCCTCCGTGCCTCCGCGAGTTTGCCACCATCGACATCGGCCGTCCGTACGTCTGTCCTTACGTACGCCTACCATCCGTCCTGTCACCTTAGTTTCGCACACGTCCCGCTTTTTCTCCTCCCTCGCCCTCCGCTGCGAAACCCTCGATTCTCAAATAGAAAATTGATGGACCGGTTATCTATAAAGATACAGAACATTCATCGTAATTGTACAACCACACGATTGAGACAGTATATGATTCTGTTTAAACGGAAACGATTATAATAATCGCACAATTATTAACATGCTTTACCGGGTATCAGAATAACTCAAGATAATCATTTCCAGTTAGTAGTTGAAATTTAATTAAAAGCGAGGGAAGATGAAAAACTTGAAGGCATTCGCAATACCGTTTCATCGCAGACGAACTCGCGGAACGAATGAAAGAAAAAACGGAACAGATATGAAAGTAAATGTTGGTGCAATTTTGATTCGCAGACCGATGCAGCCGTTTGTAATTACGTACTATAGTGGATAATTAAAACGGTACTTCGACGAGCCAGTTACGTTTCGTACACCCCGTTTGTCGGCAAAGGGTGTATAATCGATACCGACGTCGAGGGGTGTCTGTAACGGGAAATACCATGATCGAAAGCCACCCCTTCGGTTTTCTCTGCATATCCCCTAACGATGCCACCGACTGCACCGGAACTAATTAATTCGACTGCAATTATTTTTATTACCACGTGTAACAGCGCCGACGTATCGCAGAAGTCAAGTTTTTACGATGCGCGAGAGATATTATAATTCATAATATTCATGATCTTTTAAAAAATACTCTCCTGCGTCGTCGATCACGGTTAAGCACGCTGGTTGCATGTGACACTTTTTCCCGCGTAGTCTTCCACCGGAGACTCGATTCTTCCTCTCTCGCGCAACATTTTTCTCGCCATTTTTCATCCTGGTCGTCTACTCGCGAGCGTCCTTTCTCCAACGTGCGCGCGTCTCCGCGTGTGTGTGGCCGATCTTACGTACTGCGGAGCGCGTATACGGCCGGGATGTAAGTACGTACCTACCTACGCCCAAAGGGATTGAATTACCACCGCGAGCCCCTATGTGGCAACTCTCTTACTTAACCTACCGTCGTCGGGAACTGTATCGACACATTTTTCTCCGTCGGGGTGTCCCGCAAACGGGCCAGTCTCGGCTCTCGCCGGACCTTCTCTCCTATGAATTTTAACGATCACCTCTCACCGCACCGTTCCTCTCGGTTGGCTTTAGACAGGCTTAGAACTGGACCTAATGCGCGACAGGTGCTCGCTGACAAGTTGCGAGACGTCGTCACTACTCCCGTTATCAATTCTTTGAACACGTCCAATTACGATACAAATGATATTCGTAATATAAGCTATCGGTAATAAGACTGTGAATTACGTGATAATTAGGAGAATGAGGAATGGTATCGCTGTAAGGAAAATAAGACGGCAACGAGTCAGACGCGAAGGAGAACGAAGCGAGACGGGTCAGACCACGTTTGCCAACCGGACGGTCTAATCTCCTAATTCCGAGACGATCTGAATGGCTTTAAGTACTGTTACGCGTTTTCACTCACGTACGTGTAATTTCATAGAAAGAGAGAGAGAGAGAACAATGTGACCCAGCCTCTGGACGGTGGGAGAGAAACGGTCGCAGACTCGATAAGGGTGAGGAAAGCAGAAGAAAGCTTGGTTCCAGTCGGTGTGGTGCACCGAGAGACACCGGGAGAGGCGGACGGTGAAATGAAAAGAGGACGAAGGGAGAAGAGGCTGGTCGAGGTAGGAACGAGACGGGACGAGGCACACGAAGTTCCCTCGGCTCGCATGGCGGCCTCGAGTACCTACCGACTCCCACTGACTGGCTGCACCATCGCCATCGCCTCCACCTTCTTCGCCCCACCTTCAGCCTACCTATCCTCGACGCGTATCCTGCACCTTCAGGGTGGCGTCACGCTCAAGACGCTTCCGGTGTTAAATTACTCGGTGTGCGCCTCTCTCTTTTTCGCTCTCCAACTTCTCCTTACGCTTCTCTTCGGCAAACTTCTTCACCTCCATCACGGTTCCCTCCTCGTCCCTGGTTTTTTGTCTCGGTACTCTCGGCTCACTCCCTCCCCCGTACCCCTCTTTTTGCTCAGTTTCTCTTCTTTCTGCCCCTTTTGTTCCCAGGTTCGACGATCCTGTCGGGGTGCTCTCCTTTCCCCTGTCCCCGTTTTAATAACCGTGAATAAAACAATCCGCCAAATTATGTCTTCGCCGGACGATGAATCGACGAAGATCCACTCGAGGTCCCTGTTGATCCATCGATCTTCGAACGAGCGACGTGTTCGCCGCGTCCTCGGACGAAGATCAAAATTTCGCTCCCCGATTGGGACCGGTCTGTTTACAACTGTTTTGACCGCTCGGCGTCAACCGGAAGAAAAGTGGCGTACGCTTTCGTGCCGTTCTGTGACCGATAACGAGAGGAATCCAGAGACAGATCATTCCCGTTGGAGATACGGATCGGTACTCGCCCGTCGTATTCTAGCCTCCGAGGCTTAACGAGCCGGGTCTCACGACGTAAATTACAAATAATAAATATCCGGTCCGCGGGTTTATCGCGGCCGAAAGATCGGGGATTTTAGGATCGGATAGGGCGCCGCTGTTAGTCGCGATGTGGGCGGGCATCGGGCCCTTCTTCGAGGCCCCCCACTGACACGGACGCCGCGTGGTGCCCCGCTGTCTTACCTGACCCTTTCTCACCACCCCCCCTCCTCTTCCCTCGTCACCTACGAAAAAACAATACCGGCAACGGGGAACACCTGACCAGCGAGAAACCGCTCGAGCTCGTCACTTCTGTTGTCGATTTTTCAATGCCCAACCCCCAACTGCTTCTGCTTCTTTAACAGAGATATGCATTCGTTTTCCTCTGGACCAGCTATGGGAATAAAGACACCTGAAATTAGTTAAAGAAATCGTGTAGAGGCAAAAAAATGGAAATTGGACGTTTAAATGATCAGTTCCTTCAATCGATGGATATCATGAAATAGTCTTATGATCAATTTGACTGATCATCATATTTATTATAATTTATTATATTCGTAATTAAAGTTCATTAAAATCCGATTGATCATCAGTGTATCGATTCGAAAGTGGCTTATGCTATAATTTACTGAAAAGGAAGATCGACGACACTGAGAGTGCAACAACGATCACGATTTCCCATGGCGTCTCTTCGCATAATTTGCCGGCGGGCCTGTTATCGAGATCCCCGGGGCGCGTCCTTCTAATCCATCGAAATTAGCATTATCCCCGTTGCGGATACGTGGGTGTGTAACAGGCGGACCGACGTGTGATAACTTTTGGGCAAGACGAGGACAGGCGTATACGAAAAGGAGAGGATAGGCCGTTTTACACGCATTCACGCACGCACGCGACGCGGCACGATTCACGAGACAGGAGACCGGCAGTGGTGCGTGTGCCCGGTGCACGTCGGTTGCGTGCGTGTAGCGGTTGTGTGGGTGTCACGGGGTGGCCACCTGTCTAGCGAGGTATGCGCCGATAGCATCACCAGAAGAGAAAGAGAACCAAACGGAACGAACGCCCAGCGCTAAGCAAAGACAAGGGCGGTAACTCACCCCGACAAATTATAGAGTGGCCAGACACCGCGATTCTCTCCACCTCTTTCTAGTCCCCTACACGACTCTTTCATCCTTCGTATTTGTATACAGGCATCTTTTTTCAAACGAACTTTTCTGTATCACGACGAATCAATCCGAGGAAATATTCTTCGCCAGTGGAAAATGACTTTATATTCTATTGATGCTCGCATGTTTCACGTGAGAGACTCTTGAGATCGAGTGGACGATTTAAATGGTAAAGAGGTGTGAAAGAACTGCGGCAGCGAACGCAACGGTGGCGTCATTTATGGTAAATGGGTCATGGTTTAGCGACGGATAGATTGCGAAATTGTGGCAGTTCTTTGAACTTTTCTTGCGGTAAAGTAAACTGATATTTCAAGCGGCCGTATGTAATTATTGATATTACGTCGTACCGAGTGCGACTTAGACCACCCAGCAGTAGTCCTAGATTTCGCTCGAAGGACAAGCTTAAACGATTACTCGAGACATCGTCCATTTATGTGGAACCGTAATTTAACGCAAGTCGAACAATTTCTACGTCGCGAATAATTTTTCTGAGAAAATATAAAAAGGAAGCTTTTCACGGTGTACGCGGAGGCTTGCCGTTTGAACTCGTGGCATGATCGGACGTAGTTAGTTCGGGACCGAGGCAACACGCATCCCAAACTTTGATTAAACGAGTCGCAGGGACCCGCGGCCCGACTCATTTGTCTGCCGTCTTCTCTTCTCCTTCCGTCCCTCTGTTCCCTCCCCTATTACCGTGATTCCTCCACCGGTACCAAGAATCGTAACGATTCCTTGAAATTCGAGGGTGGTCAAAAGTTTTCGCTGTTCTAAAACAGGTGCTCGCGATCTCTATCTGCAACTCGACTTCCCATATCGATCACAGCTTCTAAGAATATTAAAGCGTCTCGAACGTATTCGCAGTGAATCTACTTGCAAGAGAGAATCGTCTACGCAATTGTGTGGTCGAAAGAAAAACGCAATATCGTTGTAGAGAGTAAGACCTCGGCTTATCGTGCACGAGCGATTTCCTGAACGATGTTCAGTGTTCCGCGTAGCCGACCGACTCGCAGCATTTACCTGACTCGATCCGCGCCGGTTAGACGAGATAATGCGATAATTACTGAAAAATCCTGTTACGTTGAACGCGAGCTCATAGACTAAGTCGTTGTCGGGCGATTCGACGCGCGTCTAGGAAAACCGATTACCGTTATCGATGGGCGAGTCGCGATGGGTGTCGCGAGGAGGACGCTCCGTGCCGTTCCCATAAACGGATAATGGTACGTCGGCTACGCGGCGTATACAACTACACGGTCCTATTCCCTTTGGAACATCTGTATGGAAGCCGTCTGCGGGCCGTGGATGGCGGCGATATCGGGTTACTAACGTCATCGTTGCCGATACGCTCTGAACAGAGGGACTCGAGCGACGAAACAGAAGGACGGATACAACCCGGGACCACACACGGACCCACGGGTGCAAACTACCGTCGACGCTTCCTACAAACCCTCTCTTTGCTAATCACAATACCTCGTCGATAATTCCCTTCCAATCGATTACGGAAACGATAGTACCATCATTGATAGGCTACCGAATTTATGCGTAAGACAATGTTATCTACAGGAATGATAATTGCAATGGAAACATTCGGAATTCGTCAAGATATTAATTAATCGTGTGTTAAACCGATCTTAAATAGAGAAGATTTGAAAGACGTGAAGAAGAAGTGTTAATATTCAGTTCTAGGAAGAAATACTGAAATATGAAGCAATGGCAATATCCGCCCTTAATCTAAATTCTGCTGACTATTGATAGACGCGTTAGATGAAATCTCAAGGGAGGTGTGAGAAGCGAGAAACAACGAGGGTTAGGCGCCACCGGAACTATACAGAAGGAAAAGTGTAAGCGAATGGTATCCAGACAAAAAAACAAACGAGGGTTGCGCGTATATACGATTCCCTACCAACGATAAACGTCCCGAAGAGGTTTCGCGTGACGGAAACACGCGAGAAACTGTGCATACATGCGTGTCTCGTGGGTCGACGCATCGCGTCGTCGCATAAAGTAGGTGGATATGGCTTGCCCGGCGAGCAAGCGCCTCGTAGATAAGCAATTACGATGGAATCCGCAGATAACGCGACAAATTCGAATTCCGAGATTCGGGGCTCCGATAGGATCGACACGAGGCCTCCTCTCTGTCTCCTCTTCTCTCACCCTTTTCGCGTTCCCTTGTTCCCACGAATTCTCGTATTTTCCGGTTAAGAATTTCTCGTTCCTCGCCGTCCCGTCCGTATGACGCATTTCAAATTGCATAACGTCGGGATTGATGATATCATTTCTATATGTATACATCGTTCCTTTTGAGTCCGAAGATTCCAGCCCTCTGCGCTGCTTCATTTGTTACAAGAAACGATACGAATGTACGCGACACGTATCCACTTGTGTAGCATCGATACCTTTTCGGTATTTGCTCTTATCAAGGGGAATACGCGAACAATGTGGTGCACACCGGCGTGCATTTACATCGCATGGCTAGAGGAGAGTACATACAAACGTATCGCGTTACGATAGAGCAACGCCCATCGGTTTCGGATAGCAGAGAAACGCACGAAATCGCCTAGCCGCGGTACGAACAATACGCGAAACGTTCACGTATGCACGCTCGGAGTTTTGACATGATCGGGACGCCACCGATTGCCACTTTGATGCCGGCACGCTATCATAACCATCGCTCGAACTCGCCTTTTCAACGACTACTTTATACAACTTTTATTAATAATTGATTAACACTGGGAATTCGTTGATAGACTGTGTAATCAAATTTTTGTGATCGCATTCAAATGAATCCAGTCATTTAAATGGCTCGTAGAATATTAATTTCTGTTGAACGAAATTAATGAATAAATCCAAATCGTATTACTCTGTAATTTTTCAAATTGTTATTGCTACGATTTCCTCGAGGTTCGTTTTATCAATACTGAGAATTTATTGATACATTGCAGATTTCAATTTTTATAACGAATAGGTAGACTCGTTTCAACGAGGTATTTACTTTTCATTAAAATTGATCAGTAAATGAAAGTTCTATAATTTTTCGAAATCGTTTGTTGATCTCTGGAAAGATTTACCTGTGGTTTAGGAATCGAAGTCCTGTGGATAGACAGGGAAACCGGAAGTCGGTCTCGTACTACGAGATTTATAGTCTTCCGAGTGTCTCGTTGCTAGACTCTCGCTCGATACCCACCCCGCCCACGAACGGCAGTAGATTACGCGGTTTTTGCTCCGCGAACCATCCTGTATACGTTCCCCGAGCCGCAGAATTTATCGATTATACAAACAATAAGGAAATCCTCGAACGAGCGAGATGTCGGAGGAACGGTTCCGAGCAAACTCCACATTTTATCCAGCCTCCGTCTACGGACAAATAGTCCTAAATAATTTGCACCCATGTTGGAATGTTTAAAATGTCAATTGCGAAGATCAAATAGAAAGGTTCAATTAAATTCTGTTATGAAGATCATAAGAATTATTCTTTATTTTAACGAATTTAAAGAGTCGCGATTCCTGAATAAAGACGAGTGTCTTTATTTTTGGCAAGTATCCCGACACCTCAGGCTTAATTAATTTTAAACAAAGTTAAAGTCGGTTGACGTGCAGCCACCAACGCGAGCGGACGCACTCGAGCGAGCGTCGTCGACGCCGGTAACGTAATACGGAGTCGGACTACCTGACCGATCTGACAGTAAGCTCGAAATAAAATCGAATCGGGAAGCATCCGTACAGCTGGAACTCGTTTACAAACAACTGTCCCCTTTTGGTTCTTCGTTCCAGTCGATTAAAAAATGAAGCGAGTGAAAGCCTTAATCCGCGGGGTCGCAAGCTGATTCTACGTGCGTATCAAGTTTTCGCGTTTCCTGTTCAACTTCGTTCGACGTCTCCGTCGCTTTCCCAATTTATCAACAGGCATTTGTCATATGAAAAAAGTGAACTAATTCACTGTTTGAAATTAATCGCTTAAGGATGTATTGGCTACACAGTCAATCCCAAAATTTTATGTACC